AACATTAGAAAAGGATTCCCTAAACACAGTGTATCCACACATTTTGCCACACACCATAATAAAGACCCCTCTATGATGAAATTCTGGGTTATAGAGAAATTCAAGCGACACTGGAGAGGCAGTAATAAAATTAAGTAAGGTGGAGTCCAGATGGATTTACCATATGGGAACACAGGTTCCTAAAGGGTTGAATGTAGAGTTCGACCTTAATTGTTTTATTAGTGATTTTTAATGGATTATTTTATTTGGCTGTTTTTTTATGGTATTTGATATGTTTTATATATTTTCTATATATTATGCGTATATATTCTAAATTATCAAGTTACTTTTATATATTTGTTATTACTATATATTTATTTTTAATATTGTATAGTGATCTGTTGTAAATGTGAGGGTATATTTCATGAGTGGAGTTAGTAGATCCTAATTAAATACATTTCTTTTTATACATTTATTCCAATATTTATATTGAATTGCTTTTTACCTATTTATAGTAGGTTCTCCCCTGTCATAGTCCTTTTTTATTTTTTATTTATATATTGTTTTATTTTTATTTATACATTTTTTTTGGTCATTAGTGAAGCCCTATTATTAATTGGTTTTATGTAATATTAATAAAGGTTTTTTACTTAATTTTCATATATATTTATTTTTATGATTATATTAGGGCTTTTCCTCCTTTACTAGTGGGTTCATTATGGTTAAGGGTGACCAGGTATTATGGTGATTGTTGAGATATATTTTTATCTTCATGCATAATGTCATTTTTTTTCTACATTATGATTAGTGGGTTAACTTGAGCTCCTTGCATATGGCCTACGTCATTCGGACTACAAAAATATGGCCGCCGCCTTCAGTCTTATGGAGCGGTGGTGTGTTATCTTTAGCGTCAATCATTAGGCTTCCTATAAATAGAGTAAGTTGCGGTCCAATGGCAATACCCGAGGAAGTCACGAGGTTTAGTGACGAAACTCATAGGTACGCCGTGACGCAGCTTCCGGTGCACTGTGAAGCACTTCTGGCGTTGGACGCCATCTTTGAACACCCTGAAAACCCCTAACCCATGCAGTACACCCAAGCATGAGGATATCAGTGCGGTTTTTGCTCTCTATAAAAACGTGAGTGGGCATTTATTTTACTATAATAAAGAAGATGTATTTACTAAAATACTACACTATGGAGGATCTCTTTTTTTCTCACCATGAATATTGGTGAGAAACATATTTAACAGACACACCTTTCCTGAGAGGCCTGGAGTATCTGATATAGTACCTGGGAGAGGAACTACAGTTGAAATAATACCAGCCAGGATTGGAGTAGGATCCGGGAGTGATCCTGAAAGTGAAGTGGCCCATTGGGTCGCCTAAAGGAGGTGAGGGGGCAATTTAGCCACTGTGGATAAAGTGTGCTGACACTTTCACGGATATCATCACCATCTTCACGTTGCATGGTTTTTGTTGTTGTTTGAAGCACTAATTTGTGTACATTCATGGACAATTAGAGATCTACGTTTGTGTTTTGTATGTGATTTGCTTGTGTGGTCACATTTGGCACTTTTCACTTTTGTTCTATATCCCCTGTGTATAGGGATCCATGTTATTATATTATAGGTTGCAACATCATTGATCTATAAGAGTGATTTCACATTTGTATCGTTGGATTTCACTATAATTAGGTCACTTAGGTGACCATAGGTCACATTGGTTTGGGCACTGTATGCACTTTTATTATATATTCATATATTTCAACCCAGTAGTCAGGTTTTATTTTGAGGTATATTTAGGTTAAGCGCTGCAGTCGTTTTAAGAATAATTTTTTATATCACTGTTAAGGTATCAGTTTAGAGTGTCAGCTGCTATATTTTTCAGGTTTACTTCCTTTAAGCGCAGGAGGATTTTGTTTATATATTTCCCTTATTTAAAGAGCCTAAAGCACAGAACATTTAAGTATGACAGGTTTGTTATTAAAAAAAAAAATTAAATTTTTGTGCATATTATATTTGAAAAGACTGTGCAATGTTTCATTGAGCAGTGAGTGAAAAAGAGAAAAAAAATCAAACCATGCCTAAAACTGCAAAAAAAGGCTATGAGCTTGTCTGGGCTGGTTGGTCACCTGTACTTTTTAGTTTAATGCTTTGCACTTTTTCGTGTTATGACAAAACTAATTAATGGTTTCTGACAGATCTATGCTCAACTACTTACAATGTAAAAATGCATTGTTTCCAAGATAGATTTTTACTGTTGTCTCAATCTTTGTTTTTATTTTATCCTTCTACACCTATTTAAATGCTGTATACAAGTTATCTGAGTATGCATCTCCAAATATAGCCAAAGACATTACAATCGCAGTACAATCTATTTTAAATTACTTTCTTTTTAATAGTACATGTATGTGACGGAAGCGTAGGCAGGACAGAACACACAAAGAAGATGGTAAACACACAAAGCTTTATTGAACTATGAAAGGCACTCAATCAGGACAGTTCATGGCACTCCGCAACATGCGGCTTGCAGGGACACCCACGGTAAGTGGGCTCACGGGGACTGAACGGGACCTTGGCGATGGGGTCTGACCTCAGCACAACCCCCACACAGCTTTCTAGGGACAACATCAGGCTCACGGGGACTCAACGGGACTTTGGCTGTGGGGCCTGGCCTCAGCACAGCTCCCACACAGCTTACTAGGGACAACATCAGGCTCACGGGGACTGAACGGGACTTTGGCTGTGTGGTCTGGCCTCAGAACAGCTCCCACACAGCTTACTAGGGACAACATCAGGCTCACGGGGACTCAACGGGACTTTGGCTGTGGGGCCTGGCCTCAGCACAGCTCCCACACAGCTTACTAGGAAAAACATCAGGCTCACGGGGACTCAATGGGACTTTGACTGTGGGGCCTGGCCTCAGCACAGCTCCCACACAGCTTACTAGGGACAACATAAGGCTAACGGGGACTCAGCGGGACTTTGGCGATAGGATCTGGTTCAGGTAGCGATAGCTCAAGCCCTCAGGGGGGCAGTCCAAGTAGCTACACTCCGGGCACGCCATAGGGCAGTTCAAACAAGGGTGGTCTGAGCGCACAAAAAGGACAGTTCATGACAAGGGTGGTCTGAGTGCACAATAGGGCAGTTCATGACAGGGGTGGTCTGACCACACAATAGGGGCAGTTCATGACGAGGGTGGTCTGCACGCATAATAGGGGCAGTTCATGACAGGGGTGGTCTGAGCGCACAATAGGGGCAGTTCATTACAAACATGGTCTGGGCACACAATAGGGGCAGTCTAGGGCACTCCGCAACATGCGGCTTGTAGGGACACTCACGGTAGGCGGCTTGCAGACACTCAGCAGCAGGCAGCTTTCAGGGACACTCACGGTAGGTGGCTTGCAGGCACTCAGCAGCAGGCAGCTTCCATGGCCGCTCACGATAGCCAGCTTGCAGATACCCAGCAGCAGGCGGCTTCCAGGGACACTCACGATTGCCGGCTTGCAGTCACTCAGCAGCAGACAGCTTCCAGGGACAAAGCAGTCAGCAGACAGGGCGGCTTCCCAGGGACCCAGCAATCCCAGGTACCCAGCAATCAGCAGACAGGGCAGCTTCCCAGGGCCCCCAGCAATCAGCAGACAGGGGCGGCTTCCCGGGGACCCAGCAATCAGCAGACAGGGTGGTTTCCCAGGGCCCCAGAGATCAGCAGACAGGGCGGCTTCCCAGGGGCCCAGCGATCAGCAGACAAGGGCAGCTTCCTAGGGCCCCAGCGATCAGCAGACAGGGCAGCTTCCCAGTGGCCCAGCAATCAGCAGACAGGGGCGGCTTCCCAGGGACCCAACAATCAGCCGGTAGGGACACAGCGGGCTTCAGCAGGTAGGGACACCGCAGGCTTACAGGGGCTCGGCAGGGTCTTGGCTGTGCGGGGTCTGTGCCTGGGATGGTTCTGACCTTTGGAGGAGTCACCTGCAGAGTGCTCAGCGGGGATGGCTGAGGAGGCCCGGTCCCCCCATGTGGGCCTCCCAGCGGCTTGTAACTCCAGCAGCGGCACAGGAGGAAGAGACCGGCCTGGTCCCGCGTCGACCTTTCTAAAGCCACGCGAGATGCTTCCGGGTTGCCCTGACATCGGCCGGCCCAGTGTCGGGATGTCGGGCCGCGTTGAGGGAGCGTGGCCTCTGTCTCCGGTGTGCGCAGAGCGCGGGAAAGCCTTGTGCCCGTGCCGTGCCCGCCAGGGGATGCACGGAACACCTTGGCGGCCCTTTGCTGGGGATTCTTGGTGGGGGGCCCGAAAGGTGCTAAACCGCACCACAGGGGGCGTTTTTTTCTCCCATTCTGCACAGCCCTTTGATGTAGGCTGGCAGGACAGGAGGAATCTGCAAGGGGGAGGGAGAGGTGAAGGGATACAGCAGAGGGACAGGCAAAGGGGGGTGGGGAAGGCACGGACACTCAGTGACAATGTAGATTGAGGACTTTCCCTAAACACAAATGATTTTTCAACCTCCTTAGCTGTCTGATTATGTCCATATTTCTGTGCTCAAAGCAGTACATTTTTTGCATGGAAATATGTATTTTTTTTATTGTAGTCCTGTAATTTTTAAGAATAACTCCCTGATATCTGTCCGAACAAGAGTCTAGTAAACATCCTGGGTATGATAAAACTTGAAACACGAAATCATAAATTATAATTTAATAAATATTCATAAAAAATAATAATACAATAATAATAAATTTAATTCAATAATAAAATCAAACCAAAAACACTGAAATTTGAAATATAGCACCAAGTTCGCACATCACTGAGCAAAATCGTTTTCAGTGTCTGATGACGAATTTCCCCACGAATCATTATCACTCAATTCTGCAAGTAGTTCTAATTTACTATTGCTGTTCTCTAGTTGGTCTAAAACGCTTTTGACCTAAAGGAACACTTTTTGGACACCATGGACTTTTCTCAGTTTCCAGGTAGAAAGAACAGTAAAAATGCAGGCAGGGCACAGGACAAAGCACTAGGGACAAAATGTATGTGAAATGGTTTGATACAGTAATGTTTTACTATGTGATTTTAGTGAATGTCACTTTTTGTCATTTTCAAATCTCCCGCCGTTCTGTCCCCCGTACGTCCCAACGCTTGCAGGGAATGTAACCCAGATGACTGATGCCTGGCATCCGCTGGATTACATTGCTGGGGACACTGCAGGAGGGACATTGCGGGAGCAAAGGACAAGGTAAGTGATCGAGGGATCACGGAGGAGCGCTGTATGGTAAGCCTAAGTGTAGCTCGGGGTTAACGCTTGTGGTACTGAAACTTTACCCCAGGCTACACTCGGGAATACCGCCAGGGAGGTTAAGACAGTTGGGCTTATTTGCTAAAAGAGTAGAGGCCATGTACTTTGTAAAGCATAGTAAATAAGGTGAGCCTATGCTTACTTCAACCATCCACTCATGTTCAAGAAAAAAAAATCTTAGATTATTAGTTATCTTGTCCATGACTGGGTACTCAGAATGAATACAGCTTCTCCAAATTTACTAAGCTTAGTGAACATTCTCTTTTCAAAGTTAATATTCACTTTGTTAAAAGCACGTTACTACATCTATAATTAATCAACCCCCATTGATGTTAATCACTTTCCAAGTACACCAGACATTTGTGGATACTAAACCATAACACGCATGTGAGCTTGTTGGACATCCCATCCAAATGCCCCCCCCACCCTACAGCTTTCCACAAGATTTGGGGTGCATCTCTGGGAGATTTTGCCTGTTAGCAAGAAAAATATTTGTGAGGTCAGTGACTGTTGGACGAAAAGTCCTGGCTTGTAATTGCCATTTTGAGTCATCCCAAAGGTGTTCAGTAGGGTTGAGGTTAGGGCTATGTACCTGGACTCCCTCCATATAAAACTCAAACTTTTTGTATATGAACCTGTCTTTTTGCACAAGGGCATAGGCTTGCTTTATCAGAAAACGGTCTTCCTGTTGTCACAAGGATGGAAGTGCACAGTTGTCTAAAATGTCATTACATGCTGTAGCATTAACTGTACCCTCAAACTGAAAACTCAATAATTTGGATGGGTGTCCACATTTGGCCATATAGTATATATTGCAAAGGTGCCTTTACAATTGGTATCTGCTTGTTAGCACTGAGCAAACTCAGCAATGTCAATACAACTTTGCCTCATGTTCATTCCTGGGTCCCTACTTCATCCTTTAGGCATTCCATTTGTGCAATACTTTTATTGATATAAATGTTCAACTCCTGTAATGTTCCTAGTAAAGTGGTTGTAAAGGCTCAGTGTTTTTTTACTTTCATGCATTCAAGAGGAGAGAGCGGGGACAGGGCTGAACCACAGTCTGTGTCTGAATGGACAGACAGAGCAGCAGCTTGGGAGGGAGTCTGCTTGGGTACGGGGCTCTGCAAGGAGGGAGGGGCCAGGAGCTCTGGTGGGGACCTGAGAAGAGGAGGATCAGGGCTGCTCTGTGCAAAACAGCACAGAGCAGTTAAGTATGACAGGTTTGTTATAAAAAAAAAAAAAAATAGCCTTTAATATCACTTTAAGCAAATGAGAGGATGAAGCTTATTTTGGATAAGCTATATTGAAGGACTGCATTGCTGGTCAGTGGTGCACATGGTCATGCCTCTTGATGGTCCAACTTTAAAGCAATTTTGTGTTGCGATAATGGACATTTGTTGGGTTATCATTTACCCCTTTTTATTTACTGAACAGCAGCAGGACTTGCAGCTTTATTGGAAGCTGCTAGCATTTGTAATTTAGCATGGGGTTAAATTATATTTTGGAATAGGGCCTGCTTGGCTGATGTAAGTAATAGCTGCTAGTGACTACACCTGGTCTAAATACATATATATACAGGGCATAGGAATAGGGTGCAGGAACTCCCCCCTTTTGAGTCACCCTTGTCTCCGCCCCTTACCCCCCTCCCCCCCCCCCCCCCCCCCCCCCCGCAACAATAGATCCCACCAGCAACAAATGATCTCTCAGAAATGTAAGACCCCCGTAGCATCAACAGATCCTCCACCAGCAACAATAGACCCCCACTCGAAAATAGATCCCCTCCAGCAACAATAGATCACCTAGCAGCAAGTAACAACACCCCCCAGCACACCCCATCACCCCTTGCCATCACATACATCCAGTGCTGGAGGTGCAGGAACTGCTTTCCCCATGTTCCCACTGAAAAAAGCCATATATTTATACATATATATATATATATATATATATATATATATATATATATATATATATATATTGCTCAAAAAATTAAAGGAACACTTTTAAAACACATCAGATCTCAATAGGGAAAAAATATCATGCTGGATACCTATACTGATATGGACTGGGCAATGTGTTAGGAACCTAAGGATGTCCCATCGTTTGATGGAAATTAAAATTATCAACTTGCAGAAGACTGAATTAAAAAACACCCCGAAAATCAAAGTGAAAAAAATGATGCAGCAGGTAAGTCCATTTTGCTGAAATTTCATTACAGCAACTCAGAATGGTAATCAGTAGTTTGTATTGCCCACACGTGCTTGTATGCATGCCTGACAACATTGGTGAATGCTCCTAATGAGACGACGGATGGTGTCCTGGGGTATTTCCTCCCAGATCTGGACTAGGGCATCACTGAGCTCCTGGACAGTCTGAGGTGCAACTTGGCATCCTCGGATGGACTGAAACATGTTATCACAGAGGTATTCTATTGGATTTAGATAAGGCGAGCGTGGGGGCCATTCAATGGTATAAATTCCTTCATCCTCCACCAGGAGGAACCCAGAACCCACTGCACCAGCGTAGGGTCTGACAATGGATCCAAGGATTTCAATACGATACCTAATGGCAGTCAGGGTGCCATTGTCTAGTCCTTCCATGGTTATGCCTACCCAGACCATCACTCACCCACCACCAAAACGGTCATGCTGAATGATGTTACAGGCAGCATAATGTTCTCCACGGCTTCTCCAGACCCTTTCACATCTCTCACATGTGCTCAGGGTGAACCTGCACTCATCTGTGAAAAGCACAGGGCGCCAGTGGTGGACCTGCCAATTCTGGTGTTCAATGGCAAATGCCAATAGAGCTCTATGGTGCTGGGCAGTGGGCACAGGGCCCACTAGAGGATGTTGGGCCCTCAGGCCACCCTCATGAAGTCTGTTTCTGATTGTTTGGTCAGAGACATTCACACCAGAGGCCTGCTGGAGGTCATTTTGTAGGGCTCTGTCAGTGTTCATCCTGTTCCTCCTTGCACAAAGGAGCAGATACCGGTCCTGCTGATAGGTTAAGGACCTTCTACGGCCCTGTCCGGCTCTCCTAGAGTAACTGCCTGTCTCCTGATGTGCCATTTTGGAAGAGTTGGGACTGCCTGTGCAACCTCTCTAGGGTCTAGGTATCTCCTCATGCTATCAGTAGTGACACTGACCCTAGCCAAATGCAAAACTAGTGAAAAACAGTCAGAAAAGATGAGTAGGGAAAAAAATGTAAGTGGCCTCCACCTGTAAAACCATTCCTGTTTTGGGGGTCATATCATTGTTGCCCATCTAGTGCACCTGTTGTTAATTTTTTATTAACACCATTGCAGCTGAAACTGATTAAAAACCCCTTCTGCTACTTAACTGACCAGATCAATATCCAAGTAGTTTAATTGACTTGATGCTATACTCTAATTAAATATATATATATATATCAGTACAGTATATATATTTGTTTTCTTATTAGAATATCTAAAACTTGGAAGTATGCTGCTATGCTGTAGATGATTTCATAAACCAGACATTTGATGCTGATTGAGTCAGTAGAAGCTATACTGTTCACTGCCCTATCTGACAGCAATGCTTTGCTGAGAAAGAGTAATTACGCAAATCTTTTTATAAAGTATGTTGTTTTTCTATGTAGCTCCTGGTCTTAAACTGGGGCTACTATGCAAATTTTGTCTTTGGCTGGGCTGGGCTGTAGTTAGCTCAGACTGATTGTACAGTTTTTTCATTTGGCTTTCCCCAAAACTCAGGTTGTGCATTACTCACTGTCATCAGTAGGTGTCACTGGTACCACAGGTCATAGTATGAGAATGCATACATATATTGAGTTATGAATATTCATATTTCTTTAAGTCACCCCAATAGGAGGTCCTATGCTGCTGGTGCATGCTGAGAAAAGATATAAATATCACGGACCAGCCTTTGCTTGCTCTCTTGCCTCAGGCCAAGGCCTGAGGAGGTAAAGCTGGAGAGAGCTCTGTATGAGGCCCTGTCTAGGCCTACCTGCTTTGAACTGGTCCTGAGGCTGTCCTGCTCAGAGTGGAGGAAGCCAAGCCAAGGTGAGTAGATCCAGGGGAGGCCCCATGCTGGAGAGAGACAAAGATGAAGTCTGGTCACTCAGAAGGGCCTGGTGACTTGCTTGCAGGATGTGTTAGACTTTGAAAACGTGTTTGCAGTGTTGCTGGATCAGCTTAAAGGTTCTGACAATGTGAAGCTGGAATTCTGGATCTAAGGAGTGTGTAAGTGATCTGAATGGCATCTGACACCCTTAACCCTCTCCTTCCACTTCCTTTCAAGTTTAACATTAAAGCTTTTTAAAAGACCTGCAGTGACTGGCACCCAATTTCTGTTCTAATCTCCACTTTTTAGCAATGAACTCAGCCCTGGGGTAGATGCCAGCAAACTCCCTGCCTTTTAAGGTATTATCCTGTCTTCAGGCGAGTCAGAGGGGCTGTCAGGGATCCCCGCGGCGCTGGTCCCAGCGCAGGCGCAGTGCGCCGCTCTCTGCAGGGACGCGGGCACCAGTTCTTGGCCGACCGCGGCATTCAGGTTTGCGCATGCGCAGTAGGAACCGCGGTCGCGTGCAGGGCACCAATGACAGCGCAGGGCGCGATATTGAAACGGCCCTGAGCTGTCATTCAGTGCCTTCTGGTCTCTTCTTCATACCTGTATCTGTGATCCTGTTTCCTGTAAGTTGCTGACCCGGATTGGACCTGACCCTTGCTGTATTCTCCTACTCTGACCCCTGGCTTGCCTGACCTCTCTCCTGGATGCCCTTTACTAGATCTGACCTCCTGTTGCTGACCTGGCGTGTGACCCGACTATTCTCTGCCCGCTGCTTTGTACCGCACCGACCCCACTGTTACCGACCCGGCTTGTCTGACCTTGCACCTGCTCATCCATCCATCCATCCATCCCACCGGGGTCTCCCGACCTCCTCACATCAGGCTCTTCCCTGTGGGAGCCCCTGGCGAATACCCCTACCACTGACAGGCGCACTCAGGAGCCACGACCTGGTCTCCGGGTACTCCAAGTCCATCCCCACCATCAGGGGCTCTGGTGAACAAGTACCCTGGGGCTT